CTCTCTCTCTCTCTCTCTCTCTCTCTCTCTCTCTCTCTCTCTCTCTCTCTCTCTCTCTCCCCCTCTCCCTCTCTCTCTCTCTCTCTCTCTCTCTCTCTCTCTCTCTTTCAGTCTCTGTCTCTGTCTCTCTGTCTCTCTGTCTCTCTCTTTCTCTGTCCACTGCCGACAGACTGGATAGATGAGCCTGTATGTATGTGTAATATGTAGTAGCAATGTAGTATACACAGCTAAATGTACAGAAGAGTCTGCTCTCTAGATAAGTAAATAAATAAACAAATAAATGTATAAGTAAATAAATAAATACAGATACCTCTATATATATATACACACACATACACCCACATACATGCATGCATACATGCATACATGCATACGTGCATACATGCATACATGCATGCATGTATGTATACATACCTACATGTATACATGCATACATGCATACATGCATGCATGCACGCATGCATGCATACATATGTATGTACGTATGTATGTATGTATGTATGTATGTATTTATGTATGTACGTAGAATATATGTATATAATGCAAACATGCCCTTGTACACACTCTCACGTGCCTATACACCTTCCCTTCAAGGGAATATAGAGGGTTGGGTGGGCTTGGCAAGGATATATCGTGCTGCTTGCTTGGGACGCAGTGCTTGGATGTTGAGGGTTGGAGACTGCCAAGGCCTAGCTTGAGGTGTTTGTCACTTTGTCACCGGCCTGGGACTTTGGAGCTCAGACCTCCAAAGCCGAGCCCGGACTTTACCATTGACCTCTGTAAGTCCACAGCGCAGCAAGAGCCTCACAGTATGCCTTGCGAAAACAGTAAAGAGTGTAGCGGAGAACCTGCTCGACCCTGAATTTCAGCCAAGCTCGGAGCTCGAAGCACAGCGCATCTGAGGAGCAATGACTGGGCTATTGAAGAAACCAACTTCTGCTTGGGCCCGGGCCTTACTCCTGCGGGTTTCGACCTAAGCTGCATCCCTACGAGTTTGTGCGCTCAGGGTTTTCCATCGGTTTCGCACACTACAAGCGGAAGAGAAACATAAGGAGAAGCTGTGTTCTTACTCTTCAGGAAGCGGGTATATAGTTCTGTTTGACCAAAGTGAGCCCAAGACACGGGGGCGTTTGTTGGTGTCTCAAACTTAGGCCGCACAAGCTTCGTGCGCTTCAAAGAGACTGATGACCTCGCGTCCGGGCCTCTGATGATGATGATGGTGATGATGATGGTGATGAAGATGTTGATGGCGATGATGAGGTACAGACGACAATGTAGAGAACAACGGTGTTGTGATGATAATGAGGATGATGATGATGACGACTGTTGCTGTGTTTGGTTCATAGTTCATTGCTCCGGGCGGCTGGCTTCAAGGCGCCGTACCAAGCACCTGATGGACTGCCAGCTGTCGAAGCAGCACACCCGCCTTCGTGATGGTGTGCCGCAGAAGTTCTCATGCATTGGTAATCGCAATCATCCACCGGCTACCTCACACAGACTTTCGCCGCTGCCACCACCACAGCGAGAACGACTACCACGACCACTACTCTTCCTAAACCGCCTACCACTACCACCACCGCTAATTCTGCGACTACTACTGCTGCTGCTACTGCTAATAGGACGATTGCTACTAAGCTGAGTACTGCTGCTGCACTCTGCTGCCGCTGCTACTGCTCCCACTACTACTTCTACTGCAACTACTACTACTACTACTACTACTACTACTGCTACTGCTACTACTACTACTACTACGACGACGACGACGACGACGACGACGGCTACTACTAGCTCTACTACTTCTGCCTGCACTACGGCTGCCACTCGGCTGCGACAATGACTGAGATTGCGGGCCACTACCACTACTACACTGCTACTACTGCTACTGCACCCCGCAACCGCTACGACTACACTGCCACTGCTACTTCTGCTTCTGAAGCTACTGTTACGCTACAACACTTGTAAATTTAAAGTATGACGGGCTTCTTCTTCTGCCCTTCTGCTTCTTCCTACACCTCGTCATTACCAGCATCAGGCGTCGCCCCCATCTCATCATAAAGGCAACTGTTGCGTGAAGATTTGGTCAACCTTTCAGATGTTTTCTGGGTAGTCTCAGCCTTTAGTGCAGTTTAGCTTGGGTCCGTGCAGGGTTTCCTGGTCTGCGGCTTTGGCATGTGTGGTGATGAGATTTGCTTTCAATGCGGTGGGTCTTGATTTTTCACCTGGACTTTGGTTGGTTGCCGGAACACATCGACAGATTAAGTTGCACAGCTGATGCGCTTTTGGGCGGTGAAAAGCCTGTACTGGTGTTATCGCTGACAGGTCTTCTGACTGCCAGCTTGCTTGAACGTCGGCCAGGTACCGTGATTCCGTACACAGCTCTTTTCCTTGATGACATCATTGACAAGCTGGGACCTCGAAGTCTCTCTTGTATTCCATTGGCTCCGTGGAGCCTTGGCAGGCGTGAGCCCTTCAATACTCTGACAGAGAGATGATCTAAAGGATACGGAAATTGCTGAGGCCAGGACCGTGCCACATCTTCACCGAACAGCCTGAGCCTCAGAAACTACGAGAGACTGCTTCATTTGAGGTGTCCTTCACCGACAAATGCTCTAAAACTAGCTTCCCGGAGCCAATTACTCCCTGGTTCCAGCATTGCTGGTGTGTGTGACCGAATGCCACCAAGCTGGGCCTTTATTTTACAGCGTTCTTGTCGGAAGTGCTGATAGGCCCTCACCCTCATCGCACGTCAGGCCTCTGCTGAAATGGACCTGGGATGAGACCTACGATGAGGCCGGCGATGCTTCAGCCGAATGATTCCTCTTACTCGCGAAGCGCTCTTGCCAGGCCTATGAGAAGCCCAAGGGTGCGGTGCCCCAGACTTCAGCAGAAAAATCGCTCGTTGAAAAAACACCGCGCCACGGGGGTTGTCACCAGACCCAGGAGATCGAAAACGGCTCTTTCGTTTGCCGAGTCGCAAATGTGACCAAGGTGCCAAGTGATGGCAAGCTTGATGCTGCCTGCTTATCCGCCCTTTTTGATCGACATCGAGCGATGGACGACATTCCTGCGGAACATGGCCCTTTCTGAAAGATAGACGAGATGTTTGAAGCCTGCACAGAGCTTGATAAAACAAAAGCGACACCCTGAGTTGCCTTCAACCTCGGCTGATGTTGCAAGCTGGCTGTTCCTGCGTCTTCAGAGCAACCCTGGCGCCTTCAAGCACTGGAGCTTTGCTATGCCGCAGCTGTTGCTGCTTCTAGAGGCAGCTCCAAACTGCCACGTGAACGACCACGGCTGCTACCACAGAAACTACTATCATGGCATATCATTGCAGCTGCGTTTGCTGTTTCTGCCCCTTTGCCCCTTCTGCTGCTGCATCTGCCCCTTTGCTGCTGTTTCAGCGACGACGACAACGACGGCGCAGCCGACTCCGGCGACGACGACCACCACTGCATCAAGAACTGCCGCACCTCCAACCATGGTTGCTTTCAAAGCGACGCCTGTTTCCTTGTTCACACTTGGAATCTTTGCCATGTCGGCTCGAGGCGGTGTAGTAAAATACAGGGCCCTCCTGGCCTCTAGGCGTGGAGTTTCAAATTGTGGGATCTTTCTGCACGGGCTCCCGTCTTTTGCTGGGCTTTGGGGTTTTACGATTCCACGCTTGGCCATATCTCGACAAATTTCCAGGCCGGTGCTTCTCCCACGAGAAGTCACCGGGACGACCTCAGACAATGGCTCCGAGAAGAAGAGCCGGGCCGGAGGAGGAGGAGGACGAGGTGCGGCAAAGAGTTGAGGGTGAAGGGCACCGGGAAAAGTCAAACTCATAGCAAAACGATGGCAGTAGCAATTTTAGCAGCGGTACCGATAGCCGCAAGAGGTGTTCGGCTTTTGATACTGATGCATCAGACGGGAAGTTGGTTTGGGACGTGGCTGACCGGGAGTGTTCTTCTGCGATCTTTTCTCTAGGTGCGCATCAGACACCTCCGCAGGTTATGCGCCTGTCAGCCAGAGGATCTGGCATGTTGCTTCCTCTTTCACAGAATACCTCTCCGCATGATAGGATCCTTTCGCACACGTCACGTACCTGCGCGGGTTAGGTGCTTGTCAACTAGAGGAGGTGGGATAATGTTGCTTTCTCTTTTCACGGGTTGACGAGACCTCCTGGAGGTAGGCGTCATAAAAACATCCTTTGGTGTGTCTCCCCACCCAAGACCCCACCCCGCCCCGCTTCCGGGTTGTCTCCGTAGGTAGTCGTCATTATGAGGGTCTGTATCGGTTGACCAAAGATGTGAGCCTAGTTCCGACAGGAGGACGCCTTCGGAAGCGCGGGCTCCCACATCTCCGAGAGCGAGCCCAGCGAGGATTCTTCATCTTGTCCTTCCTTTTGGCTCGATGTTCAGGGCATGGGGAATGTATGTCGACTACCGTCCTTGTGTTCTTAAGAGCTCCTGGAGATTTATTTGCATCGCAGCCTTCTTGTGCCGCTCCTCGTGCTTGTCTCCCTGCTGGTCCTGGTTGTGGTTTTAGTGGATTCTGTGGTTGTGGTCCAGGTTGTGGTTGTTGTTTCGTGGTCGTTGGTGGCTGCGTGTTGCTTGCTTGCTTGCCGCTGCTTGTTGTTGTCGTCGTCGTCGTCAGTCGCTTGTTGCCTGTAGCCTTTGTTTTCGGTTTCCCGCTGTTTACCGCTTTGGTTTAGGGTGTGCTGTTGGATGTTGCTGCAATTGCTCTGACGGCCTCTGCCCTGCCGCCACTTCTGCTGCTGCCGCCGCTGCAGACAGTTCTCCAATGCCTATTCCTGCCGGCGTTGTTGCTGCAGCTGCGAGCATCCTCGGTTCGGATCGGAAAGCCTGGACGTGTGGTTTGAGATTTCTGCGAACAGCAGAGCCACATCACGATGACCCTCCGTTTGTATGGTGATTCTCCAGGACGAGAAGGAGAAGGAAACGAAGCCCTCGAAAACGTCCCAGGCCGCTGATTCGGCCAAGAAGGCTGGGCCAGAGACTTGCGGCAACGGCTGTGTAATTGCAAGTCAGTTATTCGTCTATGGTTCTTCCACACTGCAGCTCGACGGCCATCCTCGTAGCTCAAGGGCATCTGTTGCAACCCTGGAAGGCCTAGGCTTTCGTCTCAGAGTGACACGAGGTTGGATTTCTATTTCAAGGATGACAGATGCTGCTGGGCTGGGTGAGGTGGCGAGGAAGCAACGCACTAGATTTCCCTTTTGGCCAAAGCCAGAAAATGCGACCCACATTCAACTTCTCAGTCCGAAACCGTAGCTGGAAGAGAATCTAAACTAGAACAGATGGTTTGTGACTTTGCTCTACTACGGACCTGTGGAGAAGCGCATCGTCTTCGATTGAAATTCTCGTGGTGCGTCAGTTTCGCAACAGCAGTGGTGGTGGTTTCAGGAGCTGAAGTGGTTCATAGGTTTTGTGACAGCTTGTGGCTCCGTTCCTAAAAAGACCTGTTGAGGAAGAAGTCAGCGAGGAAGCTGAGGAGGTCGGCGCAGAGGCCCCGGAGGACGCTGAATGTGCGGCCGAGTGTGACGTGCTCACAGGGTTGATCAGCTGCGCCCGAGGATACCCAGGCCGAGGCACAGCCCGAGGAGGCCAAGGAAGCCCAGGAGGGTGAGGAGCCCCAGGAGCCAAAGGAGGCCCAGGCGGAAGAGGCCGAAGAGGACAAGGAGGTCAAGGAGGCCAAGGAGGCGCGGAGAAAGGCCAAAAAGGCCAAGAAGAAGGCCAAAGAAGCCGATGAGGCAGAAGAAGAGGAGGCTTACGAGGAGGTTGGCGCATGCCTTGGATATTGCTCGGTGCATGTCGGTGCATCAGTGCTGACTTTCTCGGGGCTACTGCAGTTTCCTGTAAACCAAGATGAAGATGCAGACGATGCGGACGGAGAAGCTGTGCAACGCAGAGCTGCCAAGGCCAGACCCTGGCAGCCAGTCTAGCTCCGGCGGTTGCAGCTCCGCTAAAAGAAGCACAGCGGCACGCGCAAGCACGCGCGTGCGGGTGTGTGCGTGTGTGTGTGTGTGTGTGTGTGAGTGAGAGAGAGAGAGAGAGAGAGAGAGTTTAACAGACCTCTCATGCCCTGGAGAAGAAGAGAGAGAGAGAGAGAGAGAGAGAGAGGAGGGGAGGACATCCAGGACCTCCAAGCCTGGTAGAGAGAGAGAGAGAGAGAGAACGTGTGGACTCTCCCCGAAAGCCCCGGAACGCTGGGGGGCCCCATGGGCCGGGGAGCTTGACGCGCTCCTCTAACCCGAAGGAAGAAGAGAACGAGCAAGAGGTGGACAGGGACACTCCGTCTATTGTGCACTAAACACCCAGATTATGATGATTTCCAGCTGCAACTTCATTAGACATTCTGCTCAACCACCGGGATAATCCAGGATGGTTACGAGGAGTCCAGGTACAAGGCCTGGGGTGCATAGCCTCCATCCTGACGGATTCAAGACAGGCACAGGGGGCAGTTTCTGAAGCTGTCCTAGCACCACGTTTTGTTCCGCTCCGACTGGCTCTGCAAAGCCCATTAGGCTTTCAGGGAAGCACGCGCTGTGCGTCCTCATCATATCGTAACATGTTGCTGCAAGCAAAGCCGACCTCTGCACCGCGCGTCCTCGGGGAACGCGGCACAATGGTGATAGCTCCGAGAGTGGAATCCTGGAGGGAGAGCCAGGTCTGTCAGGTCCGTTGGCCGATCGCGACGGTTTCTCTGAGCCTCCTTGCGGGCCTTGCGGGCGGCGGAAGCTCTCGCAGGCGGGCTTCGCGGGCGTCGGTCTCGCGTGCCTCTGCCGCGGCAGCCCGGCCAAAGCTCGGTCGAGAACGGGCGAACCGAGGCCAGCGGCCTGAGAAGAAGTGGCTCCATTCGGGGGATGTGAAGAAGGGCCAACGACTGCGAGGGACGGTCATAGAAATCTTAGACTCTCATGCTAGGCTTGATGTTGGGTTGGACACCATGGCGACACTTCACGCGAGCAAGATCCTGCCCGAAGGAGCAATGCTCCAAGAGGAACTTTCGATCGGACAGGAAATGGAAGTTTGGGTTTGTGGAGCGCGGCCATTAAGCTATAAAGTCAAACAAGGCACCACCTGGAGGATCGATGCTCGGCTGGAGGTGACAATGCTCAATCCTGCACAGCTCAGCTCGGACGTCACGGAGTTCACTCAGCTGCCGCCGAACGCATTGCTGGCAGCTACCGTTACCCACATAGAACCCTACGGAATCGTCGTCAAGGTCAAGTCGCCGACGGGTGCTGTGCCTGTGCAGGGCTTTGTTCATGTCTCCGAGATCCGTGACGGTTATGTGGAGCATCCCGCTGATGAAGTCGATGTTGGCCAAGACATCACGGTGAGCATCGTGCGCATTGACGAGAAATTCGGTAGGCTGCGACTGACCATGAAGCTGCCGGAGGTGGAAGGTTACTGAGAGTGGACTCATCAGACCGGCCTGCCTGGAGCCTCAAAACAGCTGTGCGTGGCATTGCTGTATACTGTATGTATCTGTATATACCTCGGTGCCCGCATCGGGCCTACTTGCATAGATCATGATATAACGGGGCACAGGAAAGCGGCAAATTTGCCTTGAGTTTGTGGAGACGGTTCTTGTAAGAAGAAGCCTTCGTGTCAGGGGCCCGAGACAGCTGCCGCCTCAGACTCGCGACAACGGTCACGCAACATCAGACACTCCAAGGAAGACGTGGCAACACTCTGTCGGGGTTTCAGGCCTTGAGGTTTTGTTGACAGCTTCTGTCAGTGTAGTCTGAGCATGTGGTGTGCAGGTGTTTCTTGAAAGGGTGGCTCTCTAGGAAGCTGAGTAGGCAGACACCTACTGCTTACACGCAAGCGTGCACACATACAAATACCACACATCAGCTCGTAATTCTGTGTGGGTACTGCGTACAGTGCATCTGCATCAGAGACACCGAACTTCCTGACTACCTTCTAACTAATTAAGTACCTACCTACCTACCTGCCTGCACCTACACCTACCCTGTTACCTTCCTACCTTCCCGCCTTCCCTTTCACACCTTCCCACTTTCCCACCTTCCCACCTTCCTGCCTGCCTGCCTGCCTGTCTGCCGGGCTGCCTGCCGGCCTGCTACCCACCAACCTACCTGCACCCGTCAACCACTACCTCAGGGTTCGCGGGCTAGTTCAGGTTCCTCGGGACAACCGGTACTTCCTTCATGACGACCGACAGGCCTCTCTGCAACGCATTTTTGTATGCATCAAGGGCTTTGCTTCAAGCCCTGGGTGGAAATCAATCGCCAGGTTAGCGGAGGTTCAAAATCGGGTACTGTAATGTTGATGAATGGTTTAGTCTAACAGCTGACATGCTGACATGCTTGCACCTGGCTTAAGGGATGTGACATGAAGCAACTCTCTGAAGGCAGATGATGAAGGCAAAGAAGAAGACGATGAGGCTTTGGGATTCGTTTGCACGTGTTGTGTGCTTCCTGTAGCATGCCTTGGTCTTTCTACCCGCATGCCACGTGAGGAAAAGAAAGAAGACAAAAAGGAAGAGCTGGCTGCATTATCTTAGTTGCTTTTCTTCCTCCATGTCTCTGCCTCTCAGGCCACTCTTGCTCCCTCTCTTGCTCCCTCGCTAGCTCTGTCTCTATCTCCGTCTCGGTCTCTATCTCTGTCACTGTCTCTGCCGCTGTCGCGGTCTCTGTCTCCGTCGCTGTCGCTGCCTCTCTGTTTGTCTGTCTGTCTGTCCGTCTGTCCGTCTGTCCGTCTGTCCGTCTGTCTGTCCGTCTCCCTCTCTGTCTGTCTCTCTCTGTCTGTCTCCGTCTGTTTCTCTCTCTCTTTCTCTCTGTCTCGCTCTGTCTCTGTGTCTCTCTCTCTCTCTCTCTCTGTCTCTGTCTCTGTCTCTGTCTCCCTCTCTCTCTCTCTCTCTGTCTCTGTCTGTCTCTCTCTTTCTCTGTGTTTGTCTCTCTCTCTCTCTCTCTCGCTGTCTCTCTTTCTGTCTTTCTCTCTTGTCTCTCTCGCTCTCGCTCTCTTTCTGTCTCTCGGTCTGTGTCTCTCTCTGTCTCTCTCTCTTTCTCTCTCTGTGTCTCTCTTTCTTTCTCTCTCCCTCTCTGTGTCTCTCTCTGTTTCTCTCTCTTTCTCTCTCTGTGTCTCTCTTTCTTTCTTTCTCTCTCTCTCTCTCTGTCTCTCTCCCTGTCTCTCTTTCTGTTTCTCTCTCTGCCTCTCTCTCTCTCTGTGTCTTTCTCAATGATTGATCGAAGAAGTAGAGCTTTGCGCATCGTTTTTCACTTTTTTTCGAGTTCTCGCGCCTCTTTGCCAGAGCCCTTGTTTGTTGGCCGACTGTCGTTCAGTTTGGCTCGAGACTTCCTTGAGGCCTGCCGGTCTGGTCTGTTTCTGCAGTGCACAACGTAAATCGGCTTGTGGGTTGGAGCTGAGCTTCGGCTTGTGCTTAGGCATCGCTCATGCGAACTGTTCTCGGTCCGCAGAAAACAACGGTGGCTCACATCAGCATGCTGCAGGCTCCATGCGGCAAACAGGATCAGCGTGTTTCGCATCGTGTCACATGAGTTGCACTCCAGGAGCTGCTAACAGCGGCAAAGGCAGAAAGTGCAAACGAAGAGCTCGTTCTACAAGCTTCCAAGTTGGAGCCTCAGAGCCTGGTTGGGATTCGGCAGCTGCAAGCTGTGTTGTGCCAGTGTTGTGCCCAGAACTAGCCGAGGCTGATAGCACGACTCAGAAGTGAAAGTGAAGTGCAGCAGCGAATATCGGCAACGGCCGCATAGCCGTATTCGACCATGTCTCTGCTGATTTCCAGACGTGTTTCTTGCACCAAGGCAGTCTTGTGCGAAGTTGACTGCTTCAAGGAAGCCGACGGGAGGGTAGCTGACCCAGCTGACCCAGGACGCAGTCGCAGCGACGTGAGACTTCAGCATCACTCGAGGAAGAGATGCCGGACTGGTCTCGTGACACCGAGAGGTTCGAAGAGTTTCACGAGGTCCCGTTCGTTTGCTTGTGCTTGAGGCTTTTTCTCGTGATCCCTTGGACTGGACCCCGACCACTTGAAACTCAGGACTTCAAACGCGTCATGGAGGATGCGGAGCGTGATCAGGTCACATCTCCTCTTGCAGATGTACTTGTGCAATTGGCATCTCAAGGTTCTGTGAGAACATTAGGACGGACTAGTGACATGCAGTGTCTGCTTGCCCTAGGTCGCAGCAGTCGAAATTTAGCAAACCGGAACGTCGTTCAGACGACATTGCCTTGGAAAGCTTGTTCAGGTGGTCTGGCCGATAGGAGACACGACGGTGCAGGATTCGGTGCCAAGTGAACAGCCGAAGCAAAGGATCGTTGCACGAAGCGAAAACACGTTTTGGCATGGCTTGGGTCCGGCTTGTTTTTGGGGAGGCGTGCAAACGCGAAGCAATACGCGAAGCATGCAAGCATCAGGCGGTTCCAGGGGCTCAAGCAGTTGACCCCGCCCTGACAAGGGAATCCCAGGTACAATCAGGTACATCTCGCCTCACACCGCTACTCGCAAGAGCAATTGTTTGTGCAAGACGGCCTGACTTTGTACTTGCCGCAGGGCTAAACGAAGGCTCGGTGCTTCGGACTATCCACGCTCCGCTACGCCTCCCGCACATCTTGAGCCCATGCACAACTCACGAAGGTGTCACTCTGCAGTGACACTGGGTTATGCCACACCGTTGTTAGCTCACCGATGCATCGAGAGCCCATTGCACAAAACGCAGGTAAGCACACTTCGCAAACATAGTTTCGATCAAGAGAGGGTCGCTGTGCCGAGAATGCCATATGAGCTGCTTTCTCAAAATCAATCAAGCTTGTGCCCAACGACATGGTTAGATCCGTGTGTTATTGCTCCGATTGGCACAAAGCACTTGTGCCAGCATCCATTTGGACAGCCTTCCTGAATGCTCCTTGGTATGTTGCGGTCGTTTCGGTGTTCCTGCCCCAGACCCCAGACCCTAAAGACTCAGGATATCTGAGGATCCGATCCTTGATGTTAGCCGCATCAAGGTGTTAGCCATCATCAAGGCATCACATCGAAAGGGGTGTTGGAGCATAGCGTCCCGTAGACCGTCCTGTCAGCCAGTTCATTCACGTCTCTTGACAAGATACCTTGCTGTAGGTGGGTATATGTGTTTATGTATGTATATACGTATGATGTATGTATGTATGTATGTAATGTATGTATGTATGTATGTATGTATTTGTGTATGTATTTGTGTATGTATGTGTGTATGTATGTATGTATGTATGTATGTACGTACGTACGTATGACGTATGTATGTTGTGTGCATTGATTGCCAGTGTTAAGTCCCAATCAAGTGATGTGTTGCTCGATGCCCCAGACTTAGCCAGGCTCCCGTAACACGAACTCGACTGCACAATGAGACCTCCCATTCTCAGAAATTGATAGTTCGAGTGCTAAATTCACCGCCCAATTTTTGCGCTTTGAAATCGAAATGGCAGTTTTGTGTCACGACTTATTATCCTAAGGCCCAAACAGGAACGGTACAGCATCAGCTAAGCTGTCGACGGCCGAAGCATGACTGTTCAAGCTGAAATTTCGAGATCTGAAGCAGCACAGTTACAAAACTACGCGGACTGCATGCCCCAAACTTCCCGGCTGCCACTTTTCAATGTGTCAGCTTTTCACACATCCACGCCTGCCCAATGCCACGTTTCCTCGCTCGCATGTCTAATTTTAAGTTCAACATGTCCAAAAGTGAGCTTGCAAGAATTTGGAATGGAACGGCGAGGGCTTCAGGCATACATACTTCAACGTTTGCGGGAATGCACTCGCATGTGCGTTACATACCTGACTGTTTCACATCTTCGCAGGTGTCGTCTCTGGTCTAGGGTTGGCACACGCAAGACAGAGGAATGGTTACGCGAAGCACAAATTGCAGTACCCAGGTGAGTGTGGTAGCTCTTGAGCTGTTGCTTGGCGCGCCAGATTTCGGAAATCCTCATGAACACCGCGCTGGAGCAGCCCGATCCCCAACTTGCAGATTCGGTTGGCATTCTGTACCTTTCGCACTGCTTTATTGCTGGTTCGGTCGAGGCTCGATAAGATTGAGCGCTTGCTGGTGGACAAAAAGCAAACAGAAGAAGAAATGCGCCTCAAGGCACGGGGTTTCAGGTAGAAGCCCCACGCGCCACAGCAGGCGAGACTCACGGAAGACTCCCTTTGTCTAAGGCTAAGGTTTGTTGGGGTAATGTACAAAGCTGCTCTCAAAGGCTCCTCAGCAGGACCCTTTCGAGGGGCATCTTAGTCTGATGCGCGATGTTTCATGAAGCATCCAATTTATCACCATAGCCACAATACAAACCAAACGCTATGGGAAGGACGGTTCGACACGTGCGCAACACAGGCTAGGGGGTCCTTTGTCTGTGCTTCTACGGATGCGTTCGCAATGCAAGTTCTAGGATGGGAAGTGTATCCTGCAGCGGTGGTGATGTACCCTCGGATGCCATCAACTAAGTCTAAGTCGCGATTTGCACAGAGCTACATCGATACGAACGGTGGATCAAGAAAACCACGATACCTGATCTTTCTATCTTGCTCCTGCGCCGCGCGCACTTACGCCTCCTTTGTGCCAAGACCGAAGAGATAGCAGAGTGAACAGTTGCGCTCAGGCAGCAAAGGCGTCAAAGAAAAAAGGCAAAAAATGATTCTGCTGCCTGTGTTTCACCCGTTTCACATCCAGCATGCAGCAAACGAGGCTGTGAATTCTAGATTCTAGAGCACTCGATGCTGAAACAAAACGGTCGTGAAGCCTATTGAAGTCTCTTGAATAACGCTCCTGCTCCGCTGCTTGACAGTCTACAATGCTGCTGTTCGGCCCAGACTTTCCGTGGGAGGCGGTGTCGATTCATTCGACAGGCCAGTATTGTGGCAGCGAGATTGTGTGATCTGAGTTCCCAGCCCGATCTAAGTCCAGTCCAGCACAAGAAAAACTATGGTGGGTCCAGGAGAGGGCCCCCAGCTCCGATGCTTTCTCTGACTTCTTGACAGGCCTCCCAGCTGCAATGAAGAAGCTCCTGATGACGGTGGTCGGGGGCCAACCTTTGGGTTTTTGGTCATCGGTCTTACATTGTTTTGCTTTAGGTAGCTGCACTGACGCCAGAAGCCAGCTCCGCCTTCATTCGTCAGGCGAGGTCAAAATGCCTCAGAGCTGCGACAGTTCTGCTGGGTCCTGTTCAGGTAGCTTTGTCCGAAGCTTCGGGCAACAGAGGCATATTGGCGAATTTATCGCAATCAGACAAGCGACTAGACGGTGTTCTTCGCATTGCTACGTTGGAGGCTTGCAGCCACTTGATGATGATGAGCGCGAGGCAATTACGATTCCTCGTCCGCCTGTTCGAGATAAGACCTGATTTTTTTCGCGCTGCGGTATAGCGCTGCTGGTACAGGCCAGGGATGCGGAGATCGAGGCAGAGCGGACTGTCAAAGAAGCAGAAGCCGCTCTGCAAGAAAGAGATGAGAAGCCCAGGCTTTCTGATGCGGCTGACGAGCGATTCATTCGTTCGATGAGCTGTGTGCAGGCATGGCAAAGGTCAGCCTCTGTTTGCGACGATCGCTGCGCTCAGGACGGAGAAGGCCAGCGACCACGTTCACCACGTTCAGTCTCTCCCTAGTGTGCACAGTTGTACACGCATGTGCCAGGGCCTGCCATACACGGAGTTTGAGCCCAGATGCATCAAGCACATGGAGGAGGCCTGCCTGAGCATGAGTTGGCAATTTCGGCAGTTTTCACAAGCTTTCGGCAATTGTTCAGGTGAGCAGTTCCCTTGCCGACGCCTACGGTGATGTGCAGGCTCGCTCGGGTGGTGACTGTTCACAGGCAGATCCATGTCTCTGAACAACAAGCAAGGTCAAGCATCTCCTCACTCAAGAGTGCCGTCGCCACCTTGAAGATCTGACTGCAGAACCCGTCAACCTGGCAGAAGCAGGGAGCGAGATAGGGAGAGGACTGGATTGAGGCCTGGAAGCTGAGTTTCCTCGCACTGTCGACACTGGCTTTGATGATGTCAAGGCCCTGTGAACTGTCACATTCTCTTCAAGACATACTGTCTATGTCACTATGTCTTTGCAATATGTGACCGGCCCACTGTCTCGTGAAGTACGTTTGGTGTCTGCAGTGGTTTAGTCAGATGCAGCCAGGCATGCTATTGGTATGAGTCTAGAGTATCCAGAGCTTTTGCATTCGTTTCCAAGTCGATACTCGATACACGCCTTGGTGCTGAGAGACCATCGTGTCTTTGTTCTGTTGTTTCGAATTGCACAGCGCATTGTGCGGTCGCGGCCTGCGAGGAATGCCTGAAGTTCGCGGATGAGTTCAAAACCGCCAAAAGAGAGGCTCGCGGGTTCAAAGTTCATGTTATGTCAAGTTATAACATGTTGTCATGTCGCACTCTTGCCACAGGACAAGTCTTTCAAACAGTTCTGCAAGCGTTTCTTCGAGGCCTTTCCAATCTAGCTTGCACATTTCGTTTTCAGCGTTTCTGCTGCAGTTTCTCCGGTTGAATTGGATCCGAGGCATCCGATCTTCCTGCTGACTGGCAGGCGATACCCAAGCAGACCGAAACTGCAGCAAAGAAGACTGCGAGGTCCAGCTGGTGGGACAAAGCTTATCGTGCGCCCAATGTCATGCGCCAGTCCACTCAGGATAGTTCCGAGGTCATTGAAAGCGCCGGCACATCGAAGGCGCGAGCCAGGCGTGGCTCAACCGATAAGACGACTGAAATCGCCGGCAAGCCGAAGACAGCGCAGGCAGAGGAAGGGACAGAATCGTCTCGGCCCGAAGTGGGGAAATCCACAGAGGCGGAGGGCGCGGGTGAGGACAGTGCAGAAGATACGGGCGAGGCAGCTTATGAGGAAGCCTTGCGCTCCGGGAAGAGCCCGGAAGAAGCTGCTCGCGTTGCGGCGGAGGCTGCGAGCAAGGTGGCTGAAGACGGGGCTCGTAAGTCGGGCAAAAGCCCCGAAGAAGTGCAGCGGGCAGCAGCTGCCGCGGCTTACAAGGCCGGTGTGTCAAATGGTATGAGCAAGAAAGAGGCCGAGGACGCATCCTCGGAGGCTGCCGAGGACGTCAGTGCCAAAGCCGCGCGTGGCATTCCTGGGTCGAGCCGTGGGAGTGACAGTGGCGAGGGCAGCGCTGCCTCCACTGACACTCCAGCCGCTGCATCTGCGGAGTCGCAGAGAGACGCAGCCTCCGGGGCTGTGGCTCCGGAACGGGGTTGGTTCCAGTGGCTGTGGAATCTGCTGTGGCCAGTGCAGACACCGTGGCCAGAGAAGCCCTTCAACAACACTCTGGGGCCTGCGAAGAACAAGACGACCGAGATTGGCCTTCAGCAATCTGATCTGGAGCGTTTAGATGCCATTCTTCGCCAAGAGAGGCCCGGCGTTGCATGCTTCCATGTGTCTTTACCTGCACAAAAAGCTTGCGCAGGGATTTCGATGCAGACAATGCAGACGGCATCGTGGCGAATACCGATCAGAAAGAATACACTTCCGTTTCCTCAGTTGCACGAAGCTTCAGCAGCAAAGAACACTTGAAATGTGACCGGCTTCTTTGCTACCAGGCTTGTGTGGTGCACCTGAAGAAGGCTTGATCGTGTGCCTGCCGAAGCAGATTGAATGTGGAATGCCAGTTGATCAACACAGGTCGGCACGGCCATCGATTCATCCTATTCCGACCAGCAGGCAGTGGAAGTTTGAACCTTTTGAGCAAGTGGAGCTGCAGAGTCATGTCAGGCCCAAGAGGTCTTAGAGTCCCAGTGCTTGCTGGAGAAGGATGCCACAACAAGCAACGGTTTGTAAAATGCCCTTTGCATTTCCTCCATGCTCGTGCAATGCTCTGATGCATTCGGGTTCGGAAAACCAAGAGTCCCTGCAGGTTTGAGTCCTTTGGGGGTCCCCGCAGATTCCTGTCGTGTTTGAGGTGCAAAAAAAGGCCAGTTGAGTTCTTGGGCGGGAGAGAGTGAGAGAGTGAGGAGGAAGAGAGACTTGGATGCGCTGGTGTCCGGGTAGGGGTTCACGCCCCGAACCCTTCCAAAGAGGCATGGAGACACAAAGACAGATCCCTCGGTGCTTTCTCTTGTTCGCACAGAGTCAGTGATGCATATTGATGAAATGATTGATCAGTGCTTGGCCCCTTGCTTGGCATATTCATACAACCCGCAATGCCTACAGCGGTGTCCCACGATGGGCCATCCGCAGGAGTTTGAGACGAGGCACGATTCCTTCGTCAAGACGAAGGCTGCCGACGGCAATGCCATCACATCTTCGCAAACGGTTCGCGATGTATCTCTGCAGAGCCTCCCAGGATTGCAAACTGTTTGCCAAGCTCTACATGAAGGCTCGGAGACAGGACTGCCGATTTCGAATCTGGGTCATTGTCGAGCTGTCGAGCGCAGACTGTCGCAGGAGCTTCTAGGCAGTGATGCCTCCTACAAGAAGCTTTGTCTGCTGGTCGCGATAGTTAAATGCCCACGTGTAAAGACAGGTGGTGTGTTGTTCAATCTGTTGCCTGCGTAGAAGCGTTGAATGTTGAGGTGCTTGGTATTTCAGCTACCTGGATCAAGCCAGGGCCACAGGGTGGCAGCAGCACTTTCCATTAGACTGATTGCGAGAATGTTGCAGTTTCGTGATCGTGTTTAAGGGCAAAGCGTGTATGTTGAAGTATACTGGTAGCTCTGGTGCCGATCATCGACAGGGCATTCCACCTGCAACAGAATTTCGTTCTACTCCCTTGTAACTGTGAGATATCCGCCTAGCGAGCGGGGGTTCTTCGACATCGTGGGCAACAGACAGTCCATCCCATGTCCATCCCCGTGCCGCCACTGTGGTAGACTTGGGTAGGTCGACGCTACAAGCGTTTTGCGGGCACGCGGATTCTGCCAGTTTGGGGTTTGCGAGCGCAACCCCGCCTCCCACCTGCGCGGTCATCGTCGATTCGGAGATAACCCATTTGCCTCAGCAGCTCCTCAATGCTCAGCCTAGCCTTGTGCTAGGATGCCCGCCTGTGTGACGCGACCCTGCTGGGAGCAATTATTGGTGTTTGTGATAAGCCAAGTGGAGGAATATGAGTTCAGGCTTGAGCAATTTGAGCCCAGGCTTTCGACAAAGACCGTCTGCAGGCTGGGATCAAAGCAATTTTGCTGCCGGGGTTCCGATCTTCCTTACCTTCTCGATGTGCATTCGAGTTCCTGTCAGGACTTTGACTCCATGCTGCTTGAAGGCTCCAAGTCTTCCGAAGTTCGGCACCTCCGCCCGCAGCAGACTCAAATCGCCGACTGAGCGAAACCTCAAGCTTTTGCCAAGCTCCCGAACGCCTTCCGCCGCATTTTCAGCAGTCGCCGAATGAGGGCCACTTTGCCTGGAAATGTGTACGGGGATTGTCTCGCCGAGATGTAAAAGAGCACGCAAACTGTAGACAGTCTTTGCATGCTTCGCGGGGTTGAGCAGCCATGTTAAGTCGTGTTTGTTGCTTACAACCTACCGTGATTGCTGCAGCCTTCCTGCCAGTGCTGGGATCAGCAATGTGGCGTAGCAGAGCGGCTAAATTCTGCAACATCCCGCGCATCAATATTGAAGACTTGTCATCGTCGTCGTGTAGATCATTGTCGTCATCATTGTCGTCATCATCATCGTCATCATCATCGTGAGCTGGCAGTACTGACAATCACCATACCCACCAGGATCTTCAGGACATGATTTTCAGCAACGCTAGCCTCAGAAATCTCAGAAACAGCAGGACATTTCGTCTAGATGCAGCTGCACAATTTTTTTTGCTGGACTGCCAGCTCCGTGTGTTCTCTCTCCTGCGATGGGGACTGAGCCCAGCAAGAAGTGCCTCCAGGAGGCACCGGCGTCTTCGCACACCTTTGCGCGGGTCAGGGTTCTTCGGGCCCTAAGGCCCATAAGCTCGCCCGCCAAACACTGTGCTGCTCGGTCCTGCCTCCTACGCTAAAAGTGCGGAGTGAGAGAGTGACGGCCGAACAATATTGGCAGGGTTTGGCTGAAGCAAAGTTCTTAACGAACAAACAGAGGGCATTGCTTTGAAGGCTTGGCCACTGGCGCTCGTCAGGCAAGGGGGAATGCAGTTGCTTTTCTTGCGCTTGTGACCATTGCTATCATCTCTTTTAAGTTGATCACTTCTGAGCACTCTTGAGTCCTGTATCACACGGCGCCAGCGAGCTTGGCCAATGTTTTCCGAAAGCAACTTGATTAGAAACTTGCGGAACATTCCGCAACATGATATTCAATCGTAGAGGCGCACGGCGCACGGGGCTCTTGCTGGCCGGGTAAGAATCCAAATGTAAGTGCATCATCACACATGAGAGTGTGAAGAACGAGCGCCTTTGCATTGTTTGGACAACCTCAAAATCCGAAGCAAGCATGAGAGCAACATTGAAGACTTCGGCGAAGCGAGGTTGACATGTCTTCTAATTTGGCAGTCGTTTTGGATGGCAGGATCGCCGCCGTGCTGGCACTGGGGACATTGCCTGTTGCAGGCAGGCTCGGTAGCGGATCTCGACATGCGAGGACATTGCGTTGCAGAATCTGCCGGGTTTTTGTCTTGCCCTTCTCCAGGGGAGCAGCCCCTGTCACAGTTGTGGGCAAACAAAGCCCCAACAGCACAGGCCGGGCACGCAGGCTGAACCTGTGCTCGGTTCTTCGCATTCTTCGAAGGAGCTTGGAAGACGTGCATCTCACGAGCTCAAGGCATGCAAACAGCAACTATCGCTGAGTTTGAAAGGTTTTCCTTTTCCACACGTGCAAGGCTTTGCTTCAGAGCAAGGGACTTCATTGCGACAGCTGCGAGAAGGCTTTGCAGCACAGTTCATCAGAGGTCATGCATGCAAAGTGAAGGCATGCGAAGCCCGTGCCCCTTTCCCGGCCTGCTGGGGCTCGTTGGGTTGTGTCGTCTTGTCCGCCATGTGCGCGATGTACTACAGGATTATTCATGGAGGTCTGCCTACGATGCCTTGATCGCCGTTGGCGTTCGCACATGAAGTGTTGACATGGTCGTGAGAGGACGCGAGGTACTTTTCATTATGCATGAAAGCAGGGGCTTGCTCCGGTCGCGAATACAGCTTGTCTTCGATGCGCCTTTTTTTGGACATGTTTCGGTGGTTGCGCGTTTACAATATTTGCAGCGGGTCTTATCATGACGTGAAGATGTTTGAGAATTTTTGCGGCAAGAACTGCCGTCGCCAGGCGTTCTAGTTCTCCATATGCTTGGAAGACGTGCTTCGCCATCCAGTGCTGCGAAGCTTTGCCGAGCTTCCGGTGCAATCCGATATTTATACAACGAGCCAAAAGGCAGTTTATGCCGAGGAGCGAGTTGCAGGCTTCGGTCATGGATGTGGCTCACAGCTTATCTATATCGTAGGAGTCCACGTTCGTGTGGGTTATCCTTGATTACAGACACTCTTTGAATTGATGCTGACAGTTAACCCCCCCCCTCGGTCATGTTCCATTGCAGGTGCAGCTGGTGCAAAGAGTATTGGAAAGCTGGGATGAGGAGGTGTTGGAGGCCAGAAGATGCGGCCAAGCGAGGGAGATCTTCCCAAATCTGAATAGCACAGGCCTCATCGCCGGATGGCAAGCTCCGCTTGACAAAGGACAGAGAGGGCAATCGCCAGTGCAAATCATGTTGTTGAACATTCCGGAGGCTGACCATGGTTTGCCGCAGCGTCCATTCACTTCGGTAGCAAATTACGTTAAGTTAAGCCGGAACTGGGAAGTCTTCCTGAGGCTTCGAGGGCAGACAGGTTAGGAGTACCCTTCCGTCTTTGAAAGACCCAAAGACGTAACACTGGAGAAGGCTTCCCAAAAGAAGGAATACTATTCACCATTCGGCCCTTCAGGGCTGCCTGGTTCTAGCTTTGCCGACCTGGCCAAACTCAATACCAAACCCTTGGAGCTTGCACGGCCACCAGAGACACAACTGCTTGCCACAGTTGGATAAGCAGTTGCATGCTCGCCCAACAGGAAGTTCCTCGCTCGAGCTTACTGCTGCGGACTGCTCTTCATCTGTTATGTATTTACCACGTGCTGCATGGCATGTGCTGTCCGATGCACAAACCACCGCCACCTGCTAAAGTCATGATTGGATTCTCCTATTTTGGCTTGAGGCAAGAGCTTCAGGTGGTCATCGCAACATCAAGGACACACTGCGCTAAAAGCAGGATAGCCCGCACAATGCATTGCCCAGCAGGCACACCCACTGTGAAGCCACTCGCCATCCTGGGCACACCGACTTACCAATCGACAGCTTGCAGCCTCACGAATCCTTTGACTATTGGGTTGTTAAGAGCAAACAAACAGCTTAAGGCCGACGGCTTTCGGTGAGACGGATTTGGATTGAGTTTAGCATGCATACTTCTTTGAACGGCAGTTGTTTAGGCTCCACATGGCCAGGCCTTTTCAAGTCTAACTTTTGGGGGGATCCCTTGCTTCTCTCGTCTTCGGTGGCTGGAAGATTTGCGTCAAGGATCCTCGGGGCTTGACTTCTGTCCTCCTTGCCCTTTCCTCGAAACCTCTGTTGAGACGTTTCGTTGGGCAAGTATTCTGCTGGGGATTAGAATCGGGTTGCTGCTGGGTCCGGTCATCGACCTCCTTTACCTCTTTAAGGTTTGGTGGGTGTCGTTCGTCCGGTGACCAGCTTCGTTTGCTCAGCCTACGTCCTCCGCTTGACAGGGTCCTTTGATGGACGAGGCCCTCTCCCTGCTTCGACAGTTGGCATTGAACTTGCAAGCCTTAACTGTGGAGGTGCAGAGGCAAGGTCAGGTTTTGAGTAGGCTGCAGTGGTG